ATCTCAAACTCAACAAGAGCTACTGCACATAACATCTTTCTGTGTATCCACTGAAACCTTCTCCTCCTCCTAACTTCCTCCCACAAAAGCAAAGAAAAAAAGAAATAGCACCATCATCCACCCACAGACAACCCAAATGAGCTAAAACCTGAGGGACCAGACAGGCTTGCTTGTGATGCCTGAACTTTCTGATGTTTAGGGTGAAATATCCCAATTAGTCTAATGAAGAGCTGAAAAACTTCCCTATAACTCCAATAAAGCATACAGCCTGCTTGTGCCCTAAATTAGCATCCAGCCGGCTCCTGAGTGGATCACTCACAAAGGCAGCCAAGGAGCCAGCACAGAGAAATCAAAGACGTGTTAGGCCAAGAGGAGGACCCGCCACTGCAGCCACCTGGGTTCTAGAACTGATCCCTACCTGTCCCTGCCCAGCCCCATCTTGAGTTTTCAGTGGGAGTCCCGACTGTGTCTGCATGAGTCTTTTCAAAGGAACACCTTCGCTACTAGATCTCATAACGTAAGACTGTGGAGACATAAAACTAACAACAAAAACTTTCTGTTTTGTGAAACCAACATTGTTTTTGGTGCTTCCCTTGATCAGCGTGCCACACCTCCCACAAAGCTGCCCGCTAGGTGGCGCTCGTCCCCCACTGTACGCAGGCGGGTTCGCGAGACCGTACTTCACTCTATAAACCTGAGAAGTGATCTTCAGCTCTGGCTTTTCACAGGTGAGAAAACTGGGGTTCGGAAAAGGAGACGTCTTCTGTGAGTCATATCCCTGCATCCCAGGGCCTCGAGCAAACCCAGGTTCCCAGACTTCTGAACCCAACGAACTTCCATCACCTGGCTGCCTCCCTCTATGCACGGTTTAGTTTATTGATTATAATAATGGTCTTTCTTTCCTTCCCTATAACAAGCTTTAGGTTCAGATCCTTCAGTTCTGGGCTCCTTTTCTGATGAATGAGTCCACTGAAATGGGTCAGGAAGACAAGGAGAAACATTTGATAAGAATAAGCCTGAAGGTTTAAGAGAAAACCCGATTGGAGTAGAAAACCCAACAGGACTGACATTAGACAGATTTGAATCCTGATTTAGCCACTTCCTGACGGTCAAGTCATTGAAACCATGTGATTGACTCTGTTTCCTCATCTGTACAGTGAGGATAATAAAGTTTTGCACTCACCACAACCTCCAGGTTGTGGAGATTAAATAAAACAGTAGGCTGTGGCTCGTGGACCGCTGCTGGGAGCAGCATTTGTTTGAATGTAAAACAACTTCGGCCTATAGTAATGCTTCTCTGCGCAGTCTGACTGACAGACGCGGACCACGTGTGTGACAAACCCTGGCGTCTGGAAACGGGTGACCTGGGAACTCAGGAGCTGGTTGGTGCCTGCTGGCGGGAAAGTGGCAAGTCCTTTGGCGCTTGGGATGCTCGGAGCGCCCTCGGAGCCTGCCGATGGGAACAGATGGTCCGTCCTCCGTGCGGCCTCTGCCCGGACCTGGCTCCCGAGAGCCTGCACCGTAGTCTCCTCCCCGCCCACCAGCTCGCGCTGTTCAGCAGCGGTCTGGGAGGGCACCAGGTACAAGCCTTCGTTTTAAAGGACTGGAAACTGTGGCCCAGAAAAGGCAGTGTCTTCAGTCAAGGTCATCAGTGCCTGAGACAAGACCAGCGTCGCCTCCCACTGTGCAGCAGCCCCTGGCGCGCGCCCTCGGGCCCTCTGGAGCACAGATGGCAGCTCCTCCCTGGAAGACGAAGGACCTCCGAAGGCGCAGGTGGAGGGCGGCAGGGGCGCAGCGCGCGGTGACAACTGTCGGCGCGCGCCCCGAGAGCCGATGTTTCTCCCGGTGCGTCCCCTCGGCCCTCCCACTCGGACCCACGCTCCAGCCGCGGCCGGGAAAAGCCTCACCGCCCAGCGCCTCGGACCCCGCCCCGGGTGGTTCTGGGGGCACGTAAGGGGCGCGCAGGAGGAAGAAAAGGAGACCGCGAGCTGGACGGAAGAGAGGACGGGAAAAGACTAGGAAAGAGCCTGGCGAGGGTCGGAGGAGGAAGGCACCGCGCGGAGCGAACTGGTTGCCTACTCGGAGCCTGGCGGGTCGTCCGGGCCCCCTGGCTCCGCCGACTCGCGGGGCCCGTGCAGCCGAAGCACTGCGCCGACCGATCTCCAGGCGCCGTCCGGCAGCCGCGGGTTCCAGGAGCTCGCGGCCACCGCGGAGCCAATCGCCCTCAGTGAGCTGGAGGCCGGGTCCCCGCGCCCTTGCGGATGCGTCCCTGTCACCGTCGATCCTCCGACCTGCGTTCCGCGCTGACCTGCTGAGCCCTGCCCGCACACCTCCCACTCGCCGACCTTGAATCTGCACGTACCGGGGGAAATCTCGGTGCATCCGCACACCTTTGCTCCCCGGCCCCCAAATCCTTTCCATCCCCACCCAACCCCCTCTTAGGAGGAGCTTCCAGACCCTGGTGTTCACGCTCGGCCAGCACCCAATTCCCGGCCCTGCCCGCAGCCGTTCAGCAGACCCCAAGATCGCCCGGCTGCGGCCGCTGCCCGCGAGGGCACGAGCCTCCCGGGCTGCGCGCCTCCTGGACTCGGAATGCCGCCCTCTGTTGCACCCCGTGCCCGCAAAATCTCCGAACCAGAACTTTCCATGCTTTGAACACCTCTGCCCGAGCCTATGTCAAGGGCTATATCCTAGTTTGATTTGGGGTTCTTTAAAAAAAACGGGGGGTAACTTAGCAAGTCTTTGGATAACCCCCAAACTTACTCCAATACTCGGTTATTCAACCCCAAAACAACTCTGCCTGTCAGCGGTGTCCTGATTCACTCTATTATTTGTCCACCCAAAGTCCAAACCCCACAAAGGGATAGCTGTCTGCGACGCAGTGCACACCTGCCCATCTCTCACCATCTGGGCGACCTGGATCAACCTCCTCCTCGACTTGACCCCAGAGAGTAACAACAAATTGCTTAGGGTGGGGGGGAGGGGTGATTTAGAGAATAAATGAAGGTCAGAGAGGAAGGAAAGGACAGGCTTTCTTTTGAAACCTAGTAAACATTCTGTTCTGTTCTCCTGCCTGAAGAGCGTCTGGTTCTTACACTTGCCTGATACTGACACCAAATTCAAACACCTTTTTCTCAAAAACTGATGTCATTGTAAAGAGCTATAAAGGGCAATGACCTCTTCAAGTGAATCCCTTCCCCCCAAACACAGTACAGGATCTGCGCTGTTGTGTATTTGGGGTGCAAAAAAGCGTCGTGGGGCTGACGTGCTGGAAGCCCGAGGGGTTGCAAAGCCGCACTGAGCCTGCAAACTGTGAATAGTGGGTGTGCTCCATCGTGGGGTGCAGAACAAGAACCGCCAGAAAGGAAGGAACAGGGGAAATATTATTTTAGTGACACCAAAAACAACAGTCCCCGCAATTTACTAAATTAAAGTCACAGTTCTTTAAACTTATTTAATGGCTCAAGTTGTGTATTTGGTGTTAAGTTAAACCTCTGGCAAAATTTATGGAAAACAATAAAGCATGTTACTGGAGAAAAAAAATTATTTAAAAATAAACAACATAAATAAGTAACAAATGTTTTGATATACCCACAAGATTTGTGTTTCTTAGCTTGGTTCCTCTCTTACAGAAAACAATGTGTTACTTTTTTTTAGGAGCATTTAATGTCACTTCAGGATCATTACTATGGTAATTCCTAGAAATTCTTTTAAACAACTACATATCTTCAAATCTTATTCAACTCACAAGTAACAGAATATTTAAAGAACAAATTGAAAGAGGTGCTTTTTTTTTCTTTTCTTTTTTCTTTTCTTTTCTTCCTGGTGCAAAATTTATCTCCAATTAAATTCAGTATTGACAGTCCAGGGAATAATCTCGCAATTTCCAGAAATTCTCCTAAAGATGCCTTCCCATTTCTCGCCTGAGTTTAGTTCTAAGTTGAACATATTTTTTCTTTTCAATTCCTGTGCAGAAATCAAATCAAATAAAACACGGAGAGAAAAGAAAAATAATCGTGATTTTAATTGATTATTTTAGAGAAAAGAATTAGCAGTGAAGAGCCGCTAAATTCTAAAGGGACGAAAGAAGCATTTTCTTTGTATTTATGAACCTTTCTAGACAGCAGAAGCTACGAGCGCGATTTATGAAACTGCGTTATCTTGGATTTTCCCAGAAGCGCGGTAATAGGTGGATACATCCACAAAGGTCAGAACCGTGGTCTTTCTCGGGCAGCGTGTCTGGGGCCTCCTTGCTGCTGGACTTGGGAGGAAAGGGGTTAAGTCAGACCCTGACTTTCTCCGCGCAACGAGTTCAGTTTTGTCTGTTAAAGTGAACGTCTCAGAGCAGAAGCCAGCCAATGGGCTGCCGGGATCGCCCGGGACAGCCCAGCGAAGGGGCGTGGCCTGCGGCTGTCACTCAGCAGTGAGGAATGACACCCGAGCGGGAGGGGGGGTACGGTGGAACGCTGGGGAAGGAAAGAGAGAAGAAACAGATAAAACCAAGGCAGGGGGTAAAAAAGGTGCCCCGCGTCTCTCGGAATCCAACGGCCGCCGCCGCCGCCGCCGCCGGGGGTGGGCTCCGGAAGAGCGGGCCCAGCAGGGAAGGGAGAGGACCAGGCAGGAGCTAAATCCTGCAGGCGAGGAAGAGACGGAGGCGCAAAGAAAAAGTGACTCGGGTCTTGCGCTCCGGAGGCGCTAAGGAGGGGACTGCAGCCGCGGAGGGGCCCCCGCGGATCCTCCCCCAACGTCCTCCCAGGGGCCGACCCCGGCCCGCCCCTCAGAGCGCTAGGCGATGAGATAATTCAGCGGAGCTGCGAAAGGAGGGCGTCTGGCGCTGGGTTGGGAGGGAGGGGGTCTCCGAGCGGGGTGAGCCTCGGAAGTAGGGGTGAGGGTCGGCGCTGATCCCGGGCCAGAGCGGGGCGGGGGCTACTGGACCGCGCAGGAGTGGGCTTCAGGGGCCTCGCGCGCGGGGCTCACTCGCGCTGCGGCGGCCCGCGCGTTCCGTCCAGCTCGGAGCTGCCCGGCGCCCCAGCCGCCCGGCTGGCCGGCCGCTCCTGCCCGCGGCGCAGATGGCTGTGCGCGGCGCCAACACCTTGACGCCCTTCTCCATCCAGGCGATCCTCAACAAGAAAGAGGAGCGAGGCGTACTGCCCGTGCCGGAGGGGCGCCCGGTACCCGGGGGCACACCGGTAGCAGTGGCTGGGGCGCCCGCGGTCTGCTGCTGGCGGCTCTTTGGGGAGACAGACGCGGGCGCGCTGGTCGGCGCCGAGGACTCTCTGCTGGCGTCGCCTGCTGGGACTAGAACCGCTGCGGGGCGGACCGCGGAGAGCCCGGGCGGCTGGGACTCCGACTCCGCGCTGAGCGAGGAGAACGAGGGCGGACGGCGCTGCGCGGACGCGCCGAGGGCCAGTCGGACCAGCCGTGCGGGAGGGACCCTGGGCCTCATCCAGCCGGTCTGCGAGCTGCCCGCCGCCAAGGACCTGGACGAGGAAGCCGCGGGCCAGAGCGACAGCGAGATGTCCGCCAGCGTCTCAGGTTCGCTGAGGCTTCCCGGGGAAGGGGGCCGGGCTGAGGGGCTGGGCAAGGAGGTCAACTTGGTGGAGAGGGGTGGGCCTGTCGAGAGCACCCTGCCCCTGGGGCCCAGGGACTAACCCTGAGCCGAAGCTCTGCGCTCTGGCGCGGGCTGCTCTAACCCTCCAGTAACTGAGCCTGAAAGACCGTGAGAGAGTCCTCCGAGCCTTGCGTCCTGGGGCGAGGCCTGAGACGACCTCCAGACGGGGCTGGGAGGGAAACACTGCAGCCTGGATTTGAGTTCATCGCCAGTGTCTTCGGCCGTCTGTCTCCAAATCCCCAAAATCAGTTAAGGGGGGGAAGCGAGGGGCCCAGAGACTTGGGGTACCCAGTGCCCTGGCACTCGCCTAGAGAGCAGAGGTGCTCAGGTCTGGAGGTCCCAGGGCAGGCCCGCAGCTCAAGGACAGGTAATGAGGGTCATCTCCCAGTGGCCCGGAGGCCGAGGATCTGCTGAGCCTGGACTTTGAGAAGAGGGTTTGTTTAGCTTTCCCAGACCCCAGGGCCTGGAAAACTGCTCTGGGCTGAGGACCCACGAGCTGGAGGCAAACCCAGCAGCAGCTAAGGGGGGGAAGGGGGGGCTGTGATTTAGGCCATCCCAGACTTAGCAGGGAGAGCGACCTCCTCAGCCAAAGGCTAGCAAGTCATTTGGTCAGAAAGAACCCCAGGTCTGTCCTGGTCGGGTGGACGCCGCTGTAGGCCTCACTCAGGCCCCAAGAAATGGTGTCTGCCAGCGGCCAGAGCCCTGGACCTCTATGCTAGGGCGCTGTGGCCAGAGCACGGAAGAGGCCGAGGAGTTGGCGTCAGATTTGGATCCAAGGACTCAAGGCAGAGACACCCTGCCCTTGTCGCCCCCAACACCCAGCCTTTGTCTAATTTCCTTTCGAAGAGAGAGGAAGAAGTCTACCCAAGGCCTTGGAGCAGCCCTTTGCACATCTCTCGCAGAAATTCTGGGTGGTTGGAGGCGGAAGACCTCCCCCCAATACCTCTGTCTCCAGTATCTGTCCTTCCACGTTTCCTTTACGTGCAGCTTACGCATGTGTGCTGCGAGAACATGTATGTGTAAGTGCGAGAGTGGGGAGGCTGGTGAACCCAAAAAGGCAAACAGAAACGCAATCTAGAACCCCAGGGCTCAGCTACGAGAGCTGAGAAGGCTTTCGAGGATGATCGGGTTAGGTAGTTACGGACGGGAGCCTGAGGCCCAGACAGGTCAGAGAGCTGGACCTGGGCCGCACAGCGTCGGTACAGCGGCTGAGCCGGTTGGCCTCACCCGACAGGCCTAGATGAGGGAAAGTGAGTGGAAGAGGGCTCCGAGGCTTTGTCCAAAAACCGGGGCTTCTAGGCACTCCCCACCACTCTGGTGGGACCCAAGGACATTTCCGTTCCCCACCCCCCTCACAACCCCCACTTACGCAGTTGAGGCCGGATCACACTCCTCTGCGGCGCTGACCATCTCTTCTTTCTGTTTCCTCTGGGATCCGAAGGCGACCGCAGCCCGAGGGCAGAGGACGACAGTGTCGGACCCGAAGGCGCACGCGTGCCAGCGCTGTGTAGCGGGGCGGGCGGCGGCAGCAGTGGCGTTGGGCCGGCGGGCGGCGCGGAGGAGGAGGAGCCCGTGGCGCCTAAGCCACGCAAGAAGCGCTCGCGGGCCGCCTTCTCCCACGCGCAGGTCTTCGAGCTGGAGCGCCGCTTCAACCACCAGCGCTACCTGTCGGGGCCAGAGCGCGCCGACCTGGCAGCGTCGCTGAAGCTCACCGAGACGCAGGTGAAGATCTGGTTCCAGAACCGTCGATACAAGACCAAGCGCCGGCAGATGGCTGCCGACCTGCTGGCCTCCGCGCCCGCGGCCAAGAAGGTGGCGGTGAAGGTGCTGGTGCGCGACGACCAGAGACAGTACCTGCCCGGCGAGGTGCTGCGGCCACCCTCACTGCTGCCACTGCAGCCCTCCTACTATTACCCTTACTACTGCCTCCCCGGCTGGGCACTCTCCACGTGTGCGGCTGCCGCGGGCACCCAGTGAGCCGGCCTGGGGCGAGGCAGCATGATCCCAGCTCCCAGTTCCAGAAGGCCGCTGATGGCTGTGCAGGTCGTGCTTTGTACAGGGCGCCCAGCCGAGGGGGCGAGTGGAGGATGAAATCCAGTCCTGGTTCTGCAATCCAGGTCGTGCGCCCTGGCGACGGGACCGAGTTTGCCCGGAGGGGGCGCCTTTTTCCAATTTGAACAGAGGCACCCTGTGGCCTAGGGGCCCTGCCCTCCCCGCCACTTGCCTGGAAGCCCTTAGACTTTATTTATTATCACGACAGCGTTGATTTGGATTGTATCTTCTTGGGGATGAAGTTTCCCCGGAGTGGAGAGAACTCCTGGAGACCACATAGCCTGAATCCCCTGAATTTCAGGCCTGCCAGGAGCTTCGTGCGCTAGGCCACACTAGTTCATGGTATCCATGCTACCAATCTATGTGTATCTACATATCTATTATTTTTGGAAATTGCATTTGTAATAAAGGGCTGCGAAACCCTGGCAGCCCCTAGAAACCCCAGGCCAGGGGTTGGTTTGACCCGTGAAGGGTTTGGTTTCCTGACCCTCCTCCCATCCCTCCCCGGTGTCAGACCTCGGGTGAGGGCGCCCTATTGGGTGCTGAATGTAAGGAAAGAAGCCTCTGAGCACAGGGCAGCTCCGCTGATCTTTCCTCTTCGAAGTCCAGGGCCTCAACAAGGAGACGCTCCTGGGAGTCCCTGGACAGGGAGAGAGCAAACCCGGCAGTCAGCAGACAGTTTTCTTTATTTCTCTCTTTTTTTTTTTTTTTAAGGAGGTTAAAACTTGTAGCACTTTTCAGTTGTTTGTATTCAAATGACGGTTATTTTCGTGTTCAATGTGAATACCCGTGTCCTGCCTTTCGAGGATGTCCTCCGCAGTTCGGCCGCCGGGCCCTTGTCTCTCCTGTCCACTCTCCGCCACTGCTGCGTCCTGACCCAGGACTCTCCCATCCCTGACCTCGCCCCTAAGGCAGGTGATCCTGTCAACCTCGTGTCAACCTCGCCGCTTTTCGCCTCCTTAAGGGCACTGTGCACTCAACTCAACTATTAACTTTTTAAAGATTTGTGAAGTTTGGAAGCTCTTTTGGCTGTATTTTTTCCCCTTTAATTTATAAACTTTTAGTTTAACATGCCCTTCTGGACGCCTTGTTTTCTCTGAGCCCCTCTCCACCCGGCTTTGGGGTAACCAGTAACATGGAAATATTTGGGGTTCAATTTCCCAACCTCTTCCCAACCCCGGACCCAGCACGCCTTCCCCTCGCGGAAGCGGCCCTGCTGCCCACCTGCAGGAGGCGTGTAAACCTGCGCCGCTCAGGGAGGCGCGATTCCCGGGACTTGGCAGGAGCCAAAGATGAATCCCACCAAATCGGGAGTGGATCCCTAGGACTCCCCCTTTTCTCGTGGGCATTGGTTTCAGGGTCCAGGAAGAGTCCACAACTGAACCTGCAACAATTTCCATGCCTCACCCTAACTTGCTGACCCCTCCACCTGCCCACACCCTCTCCGCTGTCCATTTCCCGAGTGTTTGTCTAAGGGATTCTGGTTTTATTGTGTTTGGAGAACGGGCCAGCTAACACTCTCGCTGAGATTCTGGAATGATTGGGGGCGAACAAGGCGATAAGAAGGTGTCTCCCGGGAGGGTCACCTGCGCTTTGACCTCTGCCGGGTGCAAATGACGCTTCCACTCAAGGGCCCGGCGTCATTTGACCCTCATAGAAGCACAAAGGGGGAGCAGAGGATGGCAGGGCGAAGGTTAGTTGTTAGCCTGCGTCCCAAGAGTCTTCAGAGTGCCACGGATCCACCAGAGCAAAATGCCCTCCGTTACCCTCCTCTCACTTTGGCCGGGCGAACGAGGAAGGGTTAACGCCACACGGCAGGCGCCAAGGCCCCCGGTGCACTGCCCGGGCCGGGAAACGCCGAGACCAGGCCCGGGCTACTTTCAATTTCACCCGGAGCGGAAGGGCCGAGCCGCCTTCCTCCTCTGCCCCAGACCTCACCCCGCCTCGCGACCCCCGGGCCTTGGTACCCCAAAGGCCTCGGCCTGGCGTCTGCAGCCTCTCGGCGGAGCGGAGAGTCCCCATGAGCCTTTAAAAAACGGTTCCCGCCTCTGGAAACAGGAACGCGAAGGCAAGACACAGGCCCTCGGGACGTGCACATCCGCGTCCCCAAGTCCAACTACCTTCCAAATGGCTCCTGCAATCATTTTGTTTCTTTCTGACGTGCTTAAGAATCCCATTTGAATTTCTTATTCATGAATGCTTTTTTTTTTTTTTTAGAAAACATTTCCGATAATGCTAGAATCTCCTCCCTTCCTCTCTCCAGAGGTCGCCACTGCTGATTTGGGGGGGGGGGGGGGTCGGTGTTTTTCCCCTTCTGAAACTGGCGGTTGGTTGTGGCTGCGTCCTAGGAGGGCAGTTTATGCTCCATCCTTGCGGATGTGGAGTCAAAAGAACTGAGGAATTTCTTCCGAGGAGGCCGGGCGGCGCCCTCTTGCTCCCTGCCCAGGCCAATTCTGCTGGGCAGGCTAGAGAAGCCGGGGAGAATGACTCAAACGAATTCAATTTGACCCGGATTCTTGCAGTTTCGCTCCGAACCGCCCCGTGGCTGGCGTTGGCGCGAGCGCCCTGAGATCCGAGTTTGGGCGCCCGAGGTGGCTCCTGCCTCCAGCCTGGATTCCGAGGGTTTCCCACCTCATTTCGCCACCCAAGACGGGTGTCTCTACTGGGCCCCGCGCCGCAAACGGGCTCCTGTTGGAAATTTGCAGTGTAACTATTTTCATTTCCTTTCCCTTCTGCACTTACATCCGCGCCCTTTTTGTAAAAGATGAGAAACAGTTGGTCCTGCTCCCCGCCCCAGGGGATCCCTTCTCCCGGGTTCTGTGCGGAGCCCTGCCGGCCTCCTCCGGGCCTGGTTCCGCAGAGCAGCTGCCGCCTGAGTCCTTTGCACTTCTGAACGCTTCATCTTTCTCAGTCCCTTTCGGCCCTTAGCGAATCTCAGAGCTGGCTTTGGGGACCACTGGGGACCCACACACTGAGAAGGGTAAACTAAGGCAGAAGGAATGACCGGGAAAGAGAGAGGAACTCGCTGTGACTCACAATGAAATCGATCCCAATGGGCTGCAGATTTGGGACCCATGGACTGCCATAGATCCCTGGTGTGCGTGTGTTTGTGTGTGTTTGTGTGTGTGTAAGTACCTCAACCTTCCCTTCCCACCCCACAGCCTCTCAGTTTTTGCCTTGGCCATACCGAGCTGAATCTCACTCCCAGCAAGTGCGGGGTTTGAGGGGCTCTAGACCCACAGAGTATCTTGGAAAAGTTGGACCAAGCAAGGAGAGTACAGGATGGGTTCCGTTCTGAAAATAAATGCCTTCCAGGCCGATCTAGCAAATGAGGAGAGAGGCGGTGAATCTGATTTCTTTGGAGAAGGTCCAAGGAGGGCTAAAATGCAGGTCCCCATGCCTCTGACAGGCTGGCGAGAGGTGGCATCGGGGAGAATGGGCACTGGTAGGGATGATAATGCCACAGCTAGCATCCCACCAATGCAGGCCCTCATTCAAGGCCTGCAGACGTCCCAAGGGGTGGGGATGCTGTGACTCTAACTCCCAAACCAGCCACCAGAGCTCAGTCCCAGCCAGGCCAACGCCTCACCCACATTCTGTTGGTTTGCCAGGAAAAGGTAGAACTGGGTCTCCTGTGAGTCCACAGAGTTCACCTGGTTTTACAGAACAACCCCTGCCTGGAGGAAGCCATCGCCAACAGAGCCTGAGCAGCGGGGAGGATTAGACAGTTCCCCAAAAACTAGAGGAGCTCCCGAGCCCAAGGGAGTGAGGCCAAAAGGCACCATGGCCCAGGCCATGTCCAGGCACCACGGGGCTTTAATCTGACAGGTCACCAACCTCCCCCTGCTAACAATCTTAGCTGGGAACCACACTGAGCTGCATGGGGACTGCAAGACACTCAGCTCCTTGAAAGCGACTTGTAGGTAGGAAAGTGCTGAGGGCCTGTAGGGGTGGGTTGTTGCACTGGTTGGTGGTGCGTGGCTACTGCAGAGGCCTCAGCCGCGGTGAAGGAAGCAGGAACACAGGCTCCTAATCCAAGGAGGGCCTGGAGGAGCAGCCAAAGAATACAGAACAACAGTAACAGCAAGGATAACTCCATTGATTTGGGGCATTACATGTGAAAAAGCGCTTCCTGAGTCTGTCCCATACCAGTTCCTGCGGTGGCCTGAGTCGGTGGACTAGACCTCCATTTCAAAGATGGGGAAACTGAAGCTCAAAGAAGGCATGTGACTTGCCCAAAAGTCACAGGCCATGGAGATGAGTCAAGGTCACTCAAAGCTCAGACACCTAGGAGTTGAGGTGAAAGGGTGGACTGCCTGTCAGAGCTGGCCTCCCCCAGGTTTGGTTCTGGGGTGGTTGGATCACAAGTGTGGTTTGAAAACCATTTGACAGTGTACAGCCCGTATGAACTTGCTATTGTTGCTGTGCTGCTGATGATGATGATGATAATGAACTTCTGGGCAGTGCTGAGTCAGCTGAGATGAACCCATCTTCCTTAAACTCCTGCCTCTGGCAGAGGTTTCCAGGTGCCCTGGCCTGTACTCAATGAGTCCTCAGGTGTAGAGAAGCTGGGCCTCCACCAGTTTTCAATTTTCTTGATAAATATGTTTTTAAAATGAAGAAATGCCAAAGCAGGGTTGCAAAAAAAAAAGTGTGTTATATTGTAAATTGTTACATCATGTAATAAATTAAAGTTTTTTTCTGTAGTTACACATAGAAGTTATTCAACAGAAACTGCGTTGTTCAAATCATTAAAGCATTTATAAAAGAAGATTGATTCCCAGGGCCCTGAAGCAGGGGTGGTCCGGTGGGGTTCCAGGCTATTCTGAACTGTGAACTTCTTTCAAACCTACTGGGTGTATATGAGGCTGTACCTCCCATGAAGGAAACAAGGAAAGTCCAATGGGGGGGCGGCAATTCCCGAATGTGAGAACTGGGCAAGGGGC